TTGTTCCATGTTATTCCAAACTATTAAAAACATTGTTTAGTAAAGTCAAATAATGTATGACAAACTCTCCTACAATTCATCAGTTTGAGATCCAAATGCAGAAAATAAAGGTAACAGTATCTTCCATTTCATACTCCATCAAAAAAAAAAAAAAAGGGCACTGACTTCGTCATCCTAGAGAAGGTCACTGTTAAACACATTTTGAGATGTCCTTTATCGAGCCAACTATCAGGGCTGTGCAACGAAATGACATTGCTTCTAGAAGCCGCCCTTCCTTACAAAGAATGAGAAAATTGATAGGACACAGGCAGGAGAACAGGAACCTCAGATTTTCCTCAAAGCACCAAGCTGTACAAACAGGGACCAAGAGCCAGGAAGGCCCAAGTTTAGAGCGGGGTGAAGAGCTCATTTAAAAGATTCGGAAGGGTAATCTGGGTCAGCCAATTCACATTTGGTCAAGACGGCTGGAGGCTGAATGTCATTACCGTCAGATGTTCGGTGCCCTGAATGAAATGAATTGGTCTCATTCCAGGGTCTAGAGAACAGGTGCACACAAGGAAGGGGTGGGGAATCTACTGTTAGAGTTGGTACTAATTAACATCCTTGCTGGCAGGCTCAGCGGAGAGGACAAGAGTTCACTGGCTGGAGAAGGGGCTGCTTTGTTCTGGAATAGACAGGGACACACCGATGAGTCCTCTGAAACCAAAATCTCAGAGAAATGCCCAGAGTCCAGGAACTCCACATCCTGACATGTTCCCGGGGTGGACATAGTCTACAGATGGTTATGTTTGAGTCCTCGAACCCTTTGGAAGATCCCGAAAGGCAACAATCATCAGCAGCCCCTTCACCAACTACAAAAATGAAATACGTTGTTAGCACATTTCCAGTTTAAATCCTGCCTCTTCCATGAAATTCTCCATCTCAGACACTCTCTTGTGTCCCATTGGGACCCATTCTCAATCTCTCTTGGTGTTGCGTACCTGTAATGCTGCTGGGCACTCTGTCCGGCAGGGTTACTGGAATTATTTTATAGTTGGCCACATCCAGACAAGCCCCTGAGATCTAGCCTGGAAGAAATAGCCTCCTTCTAAGTATGAGACACTGTAAGAGACTCCACAATCATTCTGTTCCCACCTATAGTCCCAGAAATGCTCCAGAGTCCCTCGTAAGAGCCTAGCTTATCCTACCAAGGTCCTCAGGCTGGTTCACCCCTGCCCCCCAACATTCCTCATCCCTCCCAGAAGCCCCTTCCTTCATTCTTGTCCCTTCCTCTCCACTCAACCCATCTGTCTCGCTTTCATTATACTCTTGGCAACTCTTTACTCGACTCTTCCCCTTGAACAAATGATTGCCTCCACTAGGAATATTCTCTCCTGTCCTTTCAACCAGCCTACTGCCTTGGCCCATTCCCATCTGGGCTCGGAACTCTGTCATTAGAACAAGGCTTCTCAGCCCAGGCAGGCATTGGGCATCTTTAGTGGTGCCCTATATATTTTTCTGTGTTTGTGTTATTGCTCTGATAACCAGGTTGAGCCTTCAAGGACAAGACGATGATCACTGACATCTATCCCATGTGGTCTAATACGATGCTCTGCATACAACAGATGTTCCATAAGTATTTGTAAATTAAAATAAACATGATTTTCAAAATGTTCAATAAACATGTTGACATAGAAGTGATTTTTCTTAAAACAGAGCTTAGTTTGTGGGTCTACTTCTCTCTCTCCTTTTAAAGATTTTATTTATTTGTTTGTTTGTTTATTTATGTGAGGCACAGAGAGAAAGGTAGAGACACAGGCAGAGAGAGAAGCAGGTTCCCTGTGGGGAGCCCCATGTGGGACTCTATTCCAGTCCCTGTGGGACTCTTTGGCCTTGAGCTGAAGGCAGATTCTCAACCACTGAGCCATCCAGGTGCCCCAATGTGGGTCTACTTTTCAAACACAATAGATAGATGATAGAGGTAAGTACCATGTATAGAATGTTTGTGTCCCCCTCCAAATTCATATACTGAAACCCTAACCCCCAGGAGGATGGTATGTAGAGGTGAGTCCTTTGGGAGGTGATTGGGTCAAGAGGGCAGGGCCCTCACAATTGGCATTAGTACCCATATAAAAGAAGGCCCAGAGAGACCCCTTGCCCCTTCCATCCTATGAGGACACAGAGAAAAGATGGGCATCTATGAATCAGAAAGTGGATCCTCACTAGACACAGAATCAGCTGGTGCCATGGTCTTGGACATCCAGCCTTTAGAACCATGAGAAATGAAAGCGTGTTGTTTATAAGACACCCGTTTTCTAGTATTTTGGTTATAGTGTCCCGAATGGAATCAGACAGTGGGTAGAAGAGGGGTAAGTAAAAAAACAGATTGGCCATCATATCTCTTAGCCTTTACCACTGCTATTCCTACCACGTCTTCACTAATTACAAGAGCAGCTACCATTTGATGAGTGCGTGATGAGTGCATACTCTTTGCCAAGCACCATATGTATTTTATTTCATTTAATCCTACGAGATAGATGCTATTACTCTTATTAGTATCATGCAGAGGGAAAAACTGAGGCTTCCAGAAATTTGCTGAGAACCACGTTAAGCGGAGAGTCAGCTTCTTAAATCAGATGTCTCGGAGACACCAGGAGATAGTGAGCTAAGAGGAAGGGGTGAGAAGGTGGGGAGGAAAGTAGATGAAAAAGAAAAATGACTTGGTCCCGTTTTGCAGAGCAGAGGGCAGTCAATCTGTCCCCGGGAGGGCAGTGGCTGCAGGGGTGTGGCTCAGATCCCTCTTTCAGGACCCAGGGACACCACAGGTCCCCAGCCAGGGAGGGGTGGCTGTTGACAGCGCACTAACCCCTACCTGGAACCTGCCCTTGGTAGGAGGGAGCTGCCTCGTCCAAGTCATAGTCACAGCCCCACACGCAGGGCTAGTCAGCCGCAGGGGTGGCAGAAGCCCAAGTGCCTTGCTGCACTTCGGCAAGTCCTCAAAGGGCCACCCAGCACCAGTGCTCCCCAGGGCGTTGATTAGGCCTCCACTCCAAGACCCCAGCGCAGCTTCTCCAGTTGCCCCAGTCCACCTTGCTCCATCCCTCCCTTACTTCTGTGGTTCCTGGGAGCGCTCTAAAAAACTTCCTGCCGGCGAATCTGTCCTCTGAGCCTACTTCCTGGGAACCTGGCCAAAGACACCTACCCACACGGAGAAAGCGGGTATCAGAGCCAGGGCCTGAGCTCTCACCTGATCCCTGGAGAGAGATGCTGCTGGGCAGGCCCACAGCTGCGGCGATGCTGGCTGGGCCACAGGCTGAGCACGGGTCTGGACCCCTCCACCCTGATGCTCCCTTTGTGCCAGTGGGTGCCTTTCTCTGCCCTCATCAAGTACCAGAACCTTGATGCTCTATCACTTCTCACCCCTCTCCCATCAAGCTCTCCTTTCACGAAAGGATTTGATGAACTCAGTCACCCAAAAGAAAAATGAATAATATTAATGTATTACTGCCTGCGGCTGAAAATAAGTGAGGCTCATTTTAAGTATAAACCAAAGGAAGGACAGGTTTACAGGAAAATGCTGGATATTTATTTACGCAGATACGACATACGTGAGCATCCACTGTGCTGAGCTGGTGGTGAGGTAGGGGGATTGCCTCTGCCCTTTGGAACTGACGCCCTGACACCGTGGCTGTGCATCTGGGTCCCAGGTCCCAAGAGGGAGCACCTCTGATTCTATGGGGCCACCAGAGCTGATGAACTGTCACACCGCCATGGGAGCAGATGGCCCTGGCTTGTTTCTGCACACCCCCAGGACTCAGGAAAAATCTAGAGTCTTTTTATATAGAGTTCATTTCACCAGAAACACAAAGAAGTAAGCAACCAGTCCCTCTTTTGCTCACCTCAAAAGCACACTAAAAGCTTTTTTTTCAAGATCCCAGGGGATGGTTCAGAAGAGACAGAAGCCTTTTAAATTCAGTTATCCCTGCTAGGCAGCAAAGGTGTATTTATCTACTTTTGGACTGATTCGAGATGAAGGGCACACCGGAAAAATTCACCAGGGGGATTTTGCTACAGAGTATCTACTCTCTGTCTGAATGATTCTTTAGGTCTAACTGGAGAAAAAAGAAAAAAAAAAGAAAGAAAGATGGAAGACGTTGCTTCTAATTTTCTCATGTCTCAAAAATGAACAGCAGAGTCCCGGCTTGGCTTGTCACACATGAATAGGTGAAGCTATGAGGCTGCAGGCTCCGTGGAATCAGCAAGACCCTGGGGACTCAGTGACAAAGAATTTTAATTACCGTCTACTGTCTACTGCTGTTATCTTGCTGGGAATCTCCATAGAAGTCACTTAACCTTCCCTTAAAACTCACTTATGAAGAAAAAAGGGAGATTAATACAGGTTCATGTCAAAGTTTAGTGTCAGGCATAATTAATAAAATACACAAAACTGTCTATCCTACGTTGTTCGTTAATAATTCCCAAAGATAATATAAACTCTCCCTTTGGCCATATAAATGTAGCTTTTTACATTGGGTATATACAATTTTCATTAATAAAAAAAAATGACTCGCTATAATGTACACCTGAAACTAATTAGGAGTCATATGCCATTATACTTCACTAAGAAAAAAGTCAGATTTTAAATACTTAGATGAGAATTTTTTTTCTTTTTTAATTTTATTTATCTTGCGAAAGAGCGAGCACATACACAGCAGGCGCGGGGGGTGCAGGGGGAGAGGGAGAGAGAGAATCCCAAGCAGACTCCACACTGAGCATGCGGAGCCCCACACAGGCTGATCCGTGACCCTGAGACCATCACCTGGAGACCATGACCCAAGCCAAAACCAAGAGTTGGATGCTTAACTGACTGAGTCATCCAGGTGCCCCCTCTTAGATGAGAATTCTTAATCCTTATACACACATACCAGGGAAACTGCAGGTAGAAAATAGCATGAAGTCTGACTCACCTGTGCTGATGAAAAGGGCTTTCGGGTGCAACCTCAAGCTTTGGGATAATTTACCTTGATACACTGCCACAGATGACTGAGCATGGCTCCGTGTTGTGCAAGTACTGAATGGCTCTGGCTGTTCCCAATAAAACACTGATTCGAATGTGCCAAGAGAGTGGGGCCGTGTTACCCTAAAAAGACAACAGTAGTTGGTTTAGGAGTGGAAGGTGTGTACCCACACCTAGAGGTATGCCAAAAGAGAAGCAGATGGTGAGGTGGGGTGAGGTAGGGGAAATGAACATTTTGGTTTGCCATAACCTATTTGTAATTTGAGATAACGTTTTCCTCTACTACCAACAGTTCTAGGCCTTTTTGTAGCCAATGGGAATATCCAATAATTTTAACATTAGTTTAATCAAAATATGGCTCCTAAGGTAACTAGGTTTAAATGTTTACTAAATAAGGGGCCGCTAGGCGGCCCAGTTGGGTAAGCATTTGACTCTTGATGTCAGTTCAGGTCTTGATCTCAGGGTCATAAGTTCAAGCTCAACAATGGGATCCACCCTGGGTATGGAGGCTACTTACAGTATTTTTTCATTAAATAAGATTAAAAAATTACTTGTGGCATCATAGTGTGGGTAATTGAGAATACTCTGTTTTTACACTTACCCTAACTAAAATTTGACCTTAAACATACACACATACCAGGGAAATTGTAGGTAGAAAATAGCATGAAGTCTGACTCACACTTCATTCATATTGAGAATAAATTTTTAAGCTTCTCTTTCAAAAACATGAGAAATCAGGCATTATTCAACCTCTTTCTCTTTAAGGAGGCTCTATCACCTTTATGTCTACCCTTTGTACTGAATGCTACTTTGTGCGAAGCTATGTGAGTAAAAAATAAGGGTAGTTAATGTAAACTCATTTGAGATATGGAATCAATCAATAAGGAGTAAGGACTCAGCAAGTCTTTTGGCCACCGTGCTGCACAGCACACAGTCACTCACGTATTTAGGCAGGATTTTTTTTTTTTTTTAGAGTAAAATATTAAATCATGGAAAGTCCTCTACTTCCTTGGGAAACACATTGTTGGCTATTCCTTCATGTGAATCCATAGTGGCCTGCTGGATCCTTCAGGAGGTTTCAGCAGCTTCTCCAGGGCTTCAGGGGGTCAGAGTATCAAGGGGGGGGGGGTCAAGGTGTGACTTACTACACACTGCAATCTGTCAGAAAGGGATCCGTTTCTCATATATGGATATACCAAGCAGAACTTCTCATTCTCTGTAAAATAAGCAGCCAACTCCAGTATGTTTGGATGATGAAACCTTGAGAGAAAAGATGTTTAAATCCATCAGATTATTTATTCAAATAGGAAACGAACCGCACTGTGGTCTGGGGGCGATAGGGTGGGCTGGGGAATGGGTATAAAGCAGAATATAGATTTGGCCCAGGGGGAAGTAATCTCATTGGACACATGGCACAGATTTATTCCCCAAATTGGTCTAAAGAGCGCAGCTCCGCTGAGCAGAGAGTCTGATACAGGCCTCGATCTCACGATTCTGAGGTCATAACCTAGGCAGAAACCAAGAGTTGGACGCTTGGCCAACTGACCCACACAGACGCCCCAAAACTATTTCTTGAATGGCTGTATCATCACAGTGGAACCCAGGTAACAACTGTGAAATATAAAAAGTGAACTTCACCTGTACCACAAACTCAGTTCAATTTAATTATTTATCGAATGCCTACTATGTTCTAGGCATGTTTGGGGATATTAAAATAAAGCTTTTTTTTTAAAGATTCTATTTATAAAACCTTATTATTAGTTTCTTCAATGGCAAAACTTTCCTATAAAACACACATATGCACGTCTTCAGATTTCTTTCCTTCCTCCTTCCTTAAAGAAGTATGTCTTGTATGTGTGTGTATGGACCCGCACAGAGACATATTTTACTTTTAAACAGGTCAAAAATGCCTATGGCATAAGACCCCTTATACCTAGTATAATGCAGACTCTCACTACAAAATGAAAAGCAGTGGACTGAAAAAGAATTGAGCTGGCGTATTTGGCTGCCTAAACAACTGATCTATACCACTGCCTGGTCCGTCTTGCACCTTAAAATAATTCAGAGACAGAAATCTTTTTTGGAAAGCAGATAGCAGACCTCATATAGACACAGCCATGGCCTGGTGCTCTGCTCTCCTGCTCACAGAGCAAAAATGACCATTTGCTTATTTTTATTTTTTTTATTTTTTATTTTTTTTTCATTTGCTTATTTTTAGATATGACCAATCTAGCAGAAAAACGGACATGGTACAAGTCAGGGAGGTGTGGAACGTGGAGCAGCCATAGAGAAAGACTTTGTATCTACGGACCCTTCTCACCTATCCTTTCACTACAAATTTTGAAGTCAATGGGATTTTAGATTATATAGAGCTCAATGTATGCGGATACAGTAATTTTATTTTATTTTTTTTTTAATTTTTATTTATTTATGATAGTCACAGAGAGAGAAAGAGAGAGAGGCAGAGACATAGGCAGAGGGAGAAGCAGGCTCCATGCACCGGGAGCCCGATGTGGGATTCGATCCCGGGTCTCCAGGATCGCGCCCTGGGCCAAAGGCAGGCGCCAAACCGCTGCGCCACCCAGGGATCCCTGGATACAGTAATTTTAAAATCAATTCAACAAGTATTTGTTGAGTGCCAGCTGCAGACAAAACCTGCCAGGAACCATGTTGTAGTACATCAACAGACTTGAACGACAGACAAACCTGGTTTGAATCTCTGGTCTTCTTTTTAGCAGCTGTGTGAACTTGGGCAAGTGATTTAATTAATCTCCGTGAGCCTGTTAATCTTTGCTATGGTCTGAGTTGTGTCTCTCCCCGACACACCTTCCCCCTCCCTCCACCCAGTTCCCATTTAAAGCCCAAACTCCAATGTAAAGGTGTTTGGAGAGGCCTTTGAGAGCCAGTCAGGGTCACGATTAGATCCCTCATGATGGGATCAGTGCACTTATAAGAAGAAAAACTGGAGAATCTGCTCCTTCTCTCTCCACCATATCTGGACAGAATTAGAAGACCCTTGTCCGCAAGCCATAAAGAGCACTCCATCAAGAACCAAATCTGCCTTGATTGTGGACTTCTCAGCCTCCAGAACCACAAGAAAGTAAATTCTGTTTAAGTCACCCTGTCTCTTTTGTGATGACAGCCCTAACAGAAGAATATTCTTCAACTCTAAACAATAATTAAAACATCACTTCCCAGAACGCCTGAGTGGCTCAGTGGTTGAGCATCTGCCTTTGGCTCAGGTGGTAATCCCAGGGCCCTAGGATAGAATCCTGCATCGGGCTCCCTGCGGGGAGTCTGCTTCTCCATCTGCCCGTGTCTCTGCCCCTTTCTGTGTGTCTCTCATGAATAAATAAGTAAAATCTTTTTAAAAATTTTTAAAAAATAAAACACCACTTCCCAAGTTTCTTATGAAAATTAAATGAAAAGTTAACTACTTAGCCAAATGTCAGGTCCTTAAAAATTATTAGCTCCCTTCCCACCCCTTGGGAAAGGAGAGAAAAAAAGGAATCAGATGCCACATCCCAACGAGTTTACAATCCTGTCTAAGGGACAATGGTTAAGAAATTCCCTTAATATTGAACTAAAAAAAACTCATCTTCAGGTCTCAGCTTAGACGTGACTTTCTCTGGAGCTCCCAGGTTACCACGCTTCCCTCTCTCAGCACTCTAAACTTCATCTCACCACTTCGCTTACTGAAATTGCCTGTTTACTTATGTACTTCTCTCCTAACCCCACCCCAGGCAGCATGTTCTGGGAGGAGAGGGCTATATCTGATTTATTCATTAATAAATATCTGAGAAGGAGACTGAAGATGATTTAGGAAAGGAGTTGGAGCTTCTCAAAAAGGTAGGATCCACTTCCATTTCCACATCTTCAAAATGAAGATAAGAGTATTTACTTCACAGGACTGTTGTAAGGATTAAAGAATACATGTAAAGTACTTGGAATAAAGCCTAAAACTAAATAAATATTAGCAATATAAATAATAATAGCACACCAAGAATATTCAAGATCATAGAGTGGTTAATTCTCTCTAAAGTCATATATAAATACCTTCCAGAACAAATCCAACTGGATCAGATATATAAATGTAGAAAATGAAACCATAAAAGTACTTGAAAAAACCATGGTAGAATTATATTATAACTTTTCACTAGAGAAGGTCTTTGAAACTGTGATATAAAATCCACAATCCATAAAAGAAAATATAGATTAAATTCAACTACATTAAAACCATTTCCACAGAGCAAAAACTAGAATAGGCAAAGACAAATGTCAATCTGGTAAAATATATATATATATATATATATATATATATATATATATTTGTATTTCATAAGATTAAGACTAATTTTCTCTAATATATAAAATGCTCCTATAGATCATTAAGAAAAATACCAATAGCCTAATATTTATTTAAATGGGCAAAGAATAGCATCAGATATTTCACAGAAAAGTCAATATGTCTCCTAATATGTGAAAAGATTCACTCAAAATACACGAAGAAATTTAAACCATACTGAGAAACCATTTTCACCTAGCACACTGGCAAAAATTAAAAGTTAAGAATAAACGGTATATTGGCAAAAATATGGGAGTCAGGAACTCAGATGTATGCCTCTGTAAGTGTAAATTGGTACTTCTTTTGGAGGAGAATTTGGTGTTATGCAACGCATATAACCATTTGACCCTGTAATTATATTTATGGGAACTTAGATATACTCAAACAGGTACAAAATAACATACATACAAGCTTTCCTTGTTGCAGCATCATGACTTTCTAATATTAAAAGATTAGGAAAAAACCCTAAAACTCCATCAATATGAGAATGGGTAATTAAATTACAAGACAGAATACAATGGAATATCAAAATAAGCGAAGTGAACAATGTATCTCTGCTACCCCTGGTGTGAAAATAAGAAAACGAAATACATACATGCTCATGCATAAACTTATCTCTGGGAAGACATACAGAAAACTGGTAACTGTTGCCCTTGGGGAAATCAGCTGGGTGGTTACAGATAATAGTGGGGAAAAACAGTCTGTTTTTGGTTTACCCTTTGGCACATTTGGAATTTTGAAATATTCCGACTTATTATATATGCATTAACAAATAAATAAAGCTTAAATACAGAAAGCTTCTACTATTATGATTTGGGTTTTAGTTATTTGTTGACTAAATGATATGCAGTAAGTTTTTTATGATTAGACTTCTAATGTTTTGATTTCTGGTCTGGGGCCTAAAAGAAGGATGTAGTACAATGCCTCCTCCACCACCACCCACTTCACATATTGCTTTAGAAAACATCTGAAAAGAACATTTTCTTTTCATAAAGGGTGATGAGTGAGCTCTATAGGGTTAAGGGCCTTCGATGAGCAAGGCTGCACAGCTGCAGATATGAATATATATGAAAATGAAGTCATTTTAGTTTGTCTCTGAGGACTCCCAGGCTCATGAATGAATTCCCAGAAAATAATATGCACATCAAAAGCACTTGATTTCTTTGTCTAAACTCTCTTCCTGAAGAAGGTTATACTGATGAAACAGTTTCTTGACTAAAATGTCTCTAAGGAAGGGGGAAATGGTAAAATATATACAACTCTAATGTTCTAGGAGTTATTTTACATTCAGCCATGTTAGTCGCACATGATTTAACCCACTTCCTGGTGACGGTTTCTTGTTAAAATGTGTTCAAGTGAATTATGTGAATGGTCTATTTTAAAATATATTCTCAGGAATATGCGAAAGCAGATGTCAAAAACATACCCAATGTTCAAATATCCAACCCACATTTATTGCATGCCAGCCATGCCAAGCACTGTGCTGTAGAATCAAAGATGCAAAAAGATGAAAACCAGGCACAGAGGGAAAACTTGCAGACGAAATATACTCACAGTAGTAAAACTTCAAGCTCAGATAAAAACCGCTTCCATTGTTTCTTACATTGCATTTTTTTCTCCTAAATATCACACAGAAAAATAAGAAAAGAAAATTAAGCAAAGGATCTGTAATTCTGGGATTCTTAACCCAGGCTCTACAGTCTTCCTGAAACACAGCTGATGTTTTTGATGTAAATGCATATAAACATTTTTCTGGGGAAAGGATCCTTAGCTGTCATCAGATTTGCAATAATCCATCAACTCCCCAGCCGATTGAGAACCACTGCTCTTGAGTTCGAAGTCTTTCATGCAATGTGTGACGTTGCTATAGTTTACATTCAAACCCTTTTACCATATTCTGTACGCATTTTCATAAATTCAAAAGTTTTATATATGTATTTAAATAAAATCCCATGCTAGAACCTGCCCACTTGATCTCACAGAGAATCCAGTTTGTCTTGGCTGCATTCTGGTTAGAAGTGATTTTACTAATATGGCATTTACCATTTGGGTCATTTGGATATGACGATTCCAGTTTACCTTTGTATTAATTTTGAAAAAAAAATGGGCTTACTAAGACATTGAAAAATATAACTCCTTACTTCAAAGGAGTTTCAGAAGCTAGCCCAGTGCCTGACACGTAATTGAATAAATATGAATTATTTATTAGTTTATTGAATAAATTAATGAATTCGATGATATTGTATGAGCACCTACTCTCTACCTGGTATTGTTCTTGATGGCTTGCTAACCCTTATGTACCGGCAGGTCTCTGCATCTCCAGGTCCTAACTTCTACTAAGAAAGAGTTAAATATTCTTAGGCTCCATCAGCTGTAAGTTTCTATCATTTGTAAATTGAAAGACAGGGCAGGGTTTTTAGAGCTCTGTTCTCAGGAAGAAAGGGAGAGAAATCCAACAGGAATTCTGGAAGCTATTTTCCAAGTTAATCCAGGAAGTCAGAAACAATAAACTAGGCTAACAAATCATTTTCAAGGACCGTTTTATGAGAATTTACATTTTAAAAACCCATTGTCCTGGGAGCCAGGTGGATTGGGTCTCAGTCCTATTTCTAACACTCAATATTTGTGACTTTGTGTCACTTAATATCCGTGAGGTCATTGTTTTCTTAATCTGAAAAATGAAGGGGTTAGTTTTTGTGTTCATGCTAACCTAGTACTCTTAATGCTCAAGGTTTGGTCTGTGAATGAGGAATCATTTCACTGGGAGCTGGCGAGGAATGCTGAATCTCAGGTCCCTACCAGGTGTGCTGAATCAAAATCAACACTGTAAGAGCTCCAGGTGATCTGTACGCACCTAACTCACGCATCTTGTACGTTCCCCCACTTCAGTCCCTTGAAGAAAGGTTATTGGAGTTAATGTCCCAATATTACAAAACCACATTTCTTTAAAAAACAAATGCTCTGTGGCTAAGTCTTCATTAAATTATCCCATCTTTCCTGATGAGTGTGTGTGTGTGCGCACATTCGTGCACTTAGGACTTTGTACGGACTCTAAGTCTTTGGTAACTTTGTCAGCTCTTGTCTTTTTACTCCTAGAGATTAGCAACTACATTCATCAAAAGGACGTACATGCGCCATTCAGTTCACCTAATGAACACTTATTGAGCAACTTCCATGGGCCAGGCTCTGTAAGAAGGCTCTGGGATACAAAGATAAATAAGACCCTTCAAAGAAAACCATCTAGTCCATTGGGAGAGGTGGATGAAGAAATCAGTATTAGGAGATAATGCTATGATGCTGTGGCTGCACATTGGAGGGTCACCAAAACCATACCGGAAGGCAATCAAGCAAATGATCATTGTGGGACAGGAATTCTGGGACAGGAAACAAAAGAGATCTAAAGGCAATGACATTCCATTCTGAAACCAGACCCCTGGAAGGAAAAAACTGAAAACCAAAAATCTCCCCAAAGGGAGTGTGAGTTGGTGGCAGCCATGGAGAGAAGAGGAAAGTAGATGGCTGGAGCCTTTGGGGAGGGAGGTAGCCCTGGGGGTCAACCCTGAAAGAACATACAGATGGGGCCGGGACACATGGCCCTAGGAAAAGCTTCAGTTAGACCACCTCCAGAGTAACCACCTTCTTTTTGTTGAATGGTTTTACCAGTAAAGTTTCATTTCTTTTTTCTTCTTAATTTTTTTTAAAGTAGGCTCCATGCCCAACACAGGGGCCTGAACTCATGATCCCGAGATCATGACCTGAGCTGAAATCAAGAGTTGGATGCTCGACCAACTGAACCACCGAGGTGCCCAATGGTCTCATCTCTTGTGTCCTCAGGAATCTTGAAGCACCCATATAGAATCAGTGGGGTAAAATGCAATTTAGGGAACTGGAAAAATCAGATTAATAATTAAAGAAAAAAAGAGGGGCTTTGTAATCAAAGCTGCAGAGAAGGGATGGCTTAGCTCCATCCTCTTCCCTACCTCCCCAGTCCTATCTAACTGACCGTGAGATTTGGTCCATTTCACCTCATTTCTTAGACACACCTTCTCATGGCCTCTGTCCTGGCTCAGAGCAGTGGGTCTCAACACTGGCTGCACACCTGAACCACTTGGGGAGCTTTTTAAAAATGCTGATGCCTGCCACCACCACCACTACTCTGACCTAACCTGATGCTGACGGGAGCATTTCAGAAAAGGTCCCGGGGTGACTCTAACATTAGGGTTGAGGACATTAGTTTAGGCCCCATCCATGTCTTTATCACACATCTTGAAAAATCCCTCTTTTCATCTCCAGTCTAGCCCTTGCCATCTCTCCTCCAATGCCTCTGCCGGCTTCTAGCCCATCATCTAACCTGTAATCAAAGTTCTACTTCAAAAAACACAAGACTAGTCCTTTCACTCTCCCACTTAGAAACCAGCCACAGGCGTGACCCGTCATTCCAGTATGGTCTGCCACTACCTTCCCACCCGCACCCCCACACTCCAGGTCTCCTCCATGGAATGATCTGTTACTCTAACGCCTATGCTATCACACACATACCTCCAGGCTGCTGGGCCGGCTATTACTTCCCCCCAGAAAGCACTTCCTGTTCCTTGCTGCCTGCCAAAATTCTACTCATCTTTCAAAATCCAGCTGAAAGGTGACTTCCTTTCACCCACTTTTCCATTTGTGTGTTGCAGAAATGTTTATCGGGTAGTCCTTCTGTGCCAGGCACTCTTCTGGGTGCTAGATGTGCCCCTGCTCTGGCTGTCTTGTTTATGCTCCTGTGGCCTCCTTTTACACAAATCTCTGCTCAAGGACTTCTCACTCTGCAGGTTAATTTTTTCTTTACTTGATTGTTTGCTCCCTAAGACTGAGCCCCCTGAGGACAGAATTCCGCCCTATACATCCTTGCTCAGCACCCAGCCCAGCGAGAGTTTAATAAATGTTTACTGACTGTTGACTAACAATGCAGAACATGAAGAGCAGCTCTTTTGGGTGTTATGTGTGCACCCCAGTCTCCTTCCTGACTCCTGAGTTTGACTCCTCAATACCTTTCTGCTTTATTGGCTGCAGCCACTCAGCTTTCTCAGAAACTCCTACTCTGCTCATTTCCTTGCTCTTCCTACTTGAGGTCTTCTCTTTCTAGCCCCCCTGAACTGTGATAAATGACAATTTATAAAGTAGCACCCAATATCAGCCTGTGGCTTAGCCGATGAAGCTACCTGGGGCTGACCCTGCCCATCCTAAAAAGAGCAAGAAAACTGGAGCAGACCAGCACAAGCAAAGTGCCAAAGGTCCTACAAGGCTTTTCAGAAAAAGTCCTCCTCCTTCGACACATCTGGGGATGGGAAGAATTTCACTTCCACATTCCTGCAAGACAGGCATTCATTTCACAGTCTTTTCTCCCGTCACCTGAGCTCATATATCTTATTTCCATTTATGAAACTTTATTTTCAAATATACCTCCTTTCAATGTTGATGAAAAATGACACATTCTAGTATGAAATATGAGCAAATAAATGGAATTGATATCCTGTGATAGTAATTCTTTCCATACCTGTTTAAATAATTTAATAGCATATGTTCGGTTTTGGATCTCCGCTCTGTATACCTCAAAAATCTCCCCTTCTCCAATTAGGAAGTCTTTGTGGAAATTTTTGGTTCCATCTCTGATATTTTGAAAGCTGATGGAGGATTTAAACAATATTCCTTAGGAAGGAAAGTGGGGAGAAGATAAGTTACTCTTTTTCTTTTTAAGAATCAATGACACCATTATAAAGAACCAGGGCTTCCATATTAGAAATACATCAGAGCTCAGCAGAAAGCCAGCCGTGCAAGACCCAGGAACCAAAACCAAAAGCCCACCATATGCTCTCTGCACTTTTACTTTGGTCTGGCACCCACCATTCCACAGAGCAAATGGCTTTTTAGATTTCTGAACAATAGCCGTGTGGTTCTATCATCCTTCCAAAGAGGTCAGCCAAAGAACGTAGTTAGGGAAACTTTTCCAAGGTTCTATTTCTTCATCATTAGATCAATAGGTTGCTTTTAGCTCACTATGAACCTAAAACTATTAAAAACAAAAAACCTCTAAAACTATAGAAGTGGAAATTTTGTTATGACTAAACAATATTCTCCAAGCATGACTGATAGAAACATTTTTCATGAGCCAAATCCTCTAAATTCTGAACTTACTTCCTTAGAGTAAATTAGGAAGATGCTTCAGCTTTTCAAAAAATCATCTAAAGCAGAGATTGGGAGAAAACATTTAAAAAGGTAATCACATACATATCCAAAGGGAAAAGCAAAGCAAAATCCTTCAGAGCCAAATTTTGGCTGTATTTCCACATTTGGTGTTTGATGTAGATCTTATTGTTAAATCTTAAAGGACCAAAACCTTACCCAACTTTTCTAATTCTCTTTTTGAACCAAAAAACATGCAGATCTAATGGTAAAGCTGAGGCAAAGCAGCCTTAACTAGCCATTAAAGTTTATCAGAATGATTCCCAGGTAGAACTAAATTATTCTCCCTACTAATAAAGTAATAAATCTGATATGGAAAATAATGGGATTTTCATAGTGACCTTCAACATCTCTAAAGATCTCCGCAAGGGCTATGAAAATTTCTAAAACTATATAAAACCCAATGTAATTTTTAAATGTTTTTCTATGACACATAAAAATGCAAATTTCACTAATGGAAAATATGAAACCCCTTGAGGAAGAGACCACTATGTTCCATTGGCCAATGGGATTTTTTAATATAACCATAATATATCATCCATCAGAGCTCCGTGTTGGTCAAAACTGCCGGTATTTCAATATCCATGAAAATTTGACCCTAAACCTGCATATTTTTTTAAACCTGCATATTAATGAACAGCTAATAGGTTGATTGGATATTCCTCCCTGTAAATTAACTTAAAGCAAATCATGATTTAAAGTAAAAAAAAAAAAGTTTTTTACCTTTTTCATTATGTTTAGGAGTAAGCACATTATCCGTTGTGACATTGGCTGTTTCCTAAGAGAGGAAATACACACTGAAATAATTCCATTTCATAAGTCTAGAAAGAACAGAACCTTAACAGAAACCCAAAGCTCCCCCTGGACTATACAGTGCAATAGAGTAGAATTTAATTTAGAAGAAAGCTAGTAGAAAGCAAAGTTACTTTATTTAATTCAATAGTATTCATTGTCATATATAGTTAAGTCTTCCATACTACTGCAAAAACTCAATGTCACGGTTATATTCAATTTTAAATGACTTCTGCTATAAAAAAATGATCACTGCCAATTTATTTGCTCCAATAAAATCCAACAGTAACATGCAAAATGCCAACTAGAACAGGAAAATTAAAAGCTGAATTAAGACAAATGCATAGCTCACAGCGCTCTTAATAGTTCTAAGCCTCATCTATGACAGATCACTGCGAGGAGAAAGCTCTTCACTCTTTCAAACACTCACAAATCTCTAATTTCCTGAATCCTCAACTAAACAAAGAGTAATGAGAGAGCTAAGGTTTTTCTGGTTTTAGAAAAAGTGCCTGCAAATCCAGCATTTTTCTGTCTGACAATTTCATTCCCCATGCTCAATTATACATGCGACGGAGTTCAAGGTTCATTATCTATGCACATACACTCTACCTTGGGTAACATGTTTGGAAATCCATCTCTCTGATGACTCTGCTCTGAAGGATTCAAGGCTGTTCCTGCAAGAGAAATAGGGGAGTTAGATACAGAAAAATGTTATGTCTTTATTAAGCACATTTTTCTTCCTTAGACTGTGAAAAAACCCACTTTGCTAGGAATGTTAATTTCTAAATCTCAGTTTCATTCTCTGAACGGTTATAAATTTGCAAATGTGAATAGCTTTCTAAGCATCAGGCATTATGCAAACATGCTTAACACACAAATACCTATCTTAAATTACTGTTAGACATCGTTAAAAATATTAAAGTATAAAGCAGAAAATTGAAAGAAAAAAAGCTTTTTGCCCATATGTTTTAAAGTTTTACAGTCATGGGATTATCTCTCCATAAGTTAGTTTTTATTTTTTGTATTTTATTTTTATCCCATTCTGTGCCATTAGGTATTAGAGGTGTGTATGTGTACGTGCAAGTGTCGTCAACCATAAACACCTACCACCCCTTCCTGAATGTACACTGTAACTTCTGTCCTATTTGAATCGAGGTAGTCTATGTAGGTTCCTACAAAAGATGAAAATCCTGAAATATTTTGGTGTCACATCTGACATTTTCATTCAGACCACAGAAATTTAATTTCATCTTCTAGTTTTTCTTAGATTGTATTCTGTTTTTAAAATTATTTTGTTCAGAAAACTGGCAACAAAACATTATCAATTAATAACAGACCTCCTTGAACAAACTATAAACCAAATAGACCTAGCAGACATTCTACAGAACATTCTACCCCCAAACAGAACAATATACACATATTTCACAAGTGTACATTGAATAAGCTCCAGGATAGACCATATCTTGTGCAATAAAATGAGCCTCAATAAATTAGGAAAGATTGAAATCATATAAAGCATATTCTCTGACCACAATGGAACTAAAATAGAAATCAGTAACAGAAGGAAATTTGGGAAATTCACCAATACATGAAAATTAAACAACAAATCCAAAAATAACCAGTGAGTCCAAGAAGAAATCACAAGGGAAATTAGAAAATACTTTGAGATGAAGGAAAACAAAAACACAACATACCAAAACTACAGCACTCAGAAAAAGCAGTGCTGAAAGGGAAATTTATAACTGTAAATGTCTACCTTAAAGAAGAAGAAAGATCTTAAATCAATAACCTGAATTTTCACTTTAAGGAACTACAAAAGAAAGAGTAAACCAAAGGAAGCAGAAGGAAGAAAAGAATTAAGATTACAGTGTTACAGTGGAAATAAATCAACTAAATAATATAAAAACAAAAGAGAAAACCAATGCAACCAAAGTGGGTTCTTTGGAATAATCACAAAATTGACACTCCCTTAGTTAGACTAGCCAAGAAAGAAAAGAGACTCAAATCACTAAAACCAAAAACAAAAGAGGAGACATAACTACTAACCTTATAGAAATAAAAAGAACTATAAGAGAATATGATGAACATCTGTATGTAAAAAATTAGATAACTGAAATGACATAGACAGATTCCTAGAAAGACACAAACTGCCAAAACTAACTCAAGAAGAAATAATTTGAATGATGTATTGCAAAGGAAAGAGATTGAATTAATAATCTATGATTTCCCACAAACAAAAGCCCAGGTGAATCCTACCAAACATTTAAACAAGATTTAACATCAGTTCTTTACAAATTCTTCCAAAATAGAGAAGAGGAAGTAACAACCCCCAAATTGGTCAATGAGACCAATCATATTATCCTAATACCAGTGCCAGATAAAACAACACACGAAAACTAGAGCCCAATATCTCTTATGAACATAGATGCAAAAATATTCCACAACAATAAGAAAAACAACAAATTCCAACAAAATATTAGCAGACTAATATAAGAAGATTATATGACGTGATCAAGCAGGATTCATTCAGGAATCCAAAACTGGCATGCTACACGAAAATCAATGTAATATAGCACATTGTTCAAATGAAGAACTAAACCCATGAAACCCAGTAACTTGTCACAGAGATCTAAGGGATAGAAAAGAATTTCCTCAATTTGGTTAATGGTATCTGTGAAAAGCTGATAAATAACATCACATATAATTGTGAAAAACTGAATGTTTTGCCCTTTACATCAGGAACAAGAAAAAAAAATGCTCTTGCCACTTCTATTCAACATCATACTAGAGGTTCTAGCCAGGGCAATTAGGCAAGAAGAAGAAAAAACATCACAGATAAGTATTGTGTGGAACAAAATTTGAAGTACAGGCACTAAAAGTCATTGTCCTTTTGTCAGGGAGACAGGGAGATGATACTTCATTGTCATGTAAAATAGACGATTCAAAATGGCTTTCCTTAAAAAAAAAGAAAAAAAGAAAAGAAAATGGCTTTCCTAAGAAGCCAGCAGAAAGCTATGGATTTCACGTCAAAACTAGAAAATAATTGCTGATCATTGACATTTAAACGCCCCTGCCCCTCCACCTGTTCATGCTCTCTCTCTCTCAAATAAATAAATAAATAAAATCTTAAAAAAACAAACAAACAAACAAACAAAAAACCTAAAGAAGTGGTAGAAAGGAATGCGTTGCTTACTCAGGCAATAAGGAAAGAAAGTGTTCTAAAAAAAGAAAGTAATGAAAGCCTTCAGATAAAGCCTCAGGTCAGGAATCGGTGACACAGCATGGCCAGTCAATGTCTCGAATAAGATACAATATTTACATTTACAAGTTATATTGCGAATAAAATGGACTGAGAGCCACGTCATAAGAATCATAAATGTTTACCATAGTTCACAATTAAATGGATAGCTCGATGATGCCCCATCTCCTGGAGAATCTGTAAAAGGTCACCGATGGTCTTGTTTTTCTGTGCCCAGGACCAAAGTAATTCTCTTGTTCCACTTTTACCTTGGTCTACATACTTTTCAATGTGACGAACATCCAGCCAGCTGCTCGAGAGTCTCTCCGCTGTGGAAATTGCAACAGGAAGAACCAAAAAATAATTTACTTTTATTGGAATACTTGTTCGGGGGTGTATGTTTTATTTCATATTATTTATCATTTTTATTTTGAACTAATTTTAGCAATATACTGCCCACCCAACTGCCCCCAGTGTTAACATCTTATGTTACCTAGGACAATGACCAGGACCAGTGATGACTAAATTGCAGACCTTATTCTACTTTCACCAGTTTTTCTACAAATGCCCTTTTTTTGGCCTATGATCCTACCCAGTTTTGCACAGTGTGATTGTTGCCACTTTTTAACCTCCAGTCTCATGGTCTTCAGTCTTTCCTCATCTTTAAGGACAGTGAAATGCTATTGTGTCCTCCTCACTACATAGTATCAAGAGGTTCAAGATGCCCACGTCCTACCACTAACGATACTGATCTTGACTGCTTCGTGATGGTGGCATATGCCACCTTAGTAGGTTCCTCTACTATGAAATTACCTTTCCCAGTAAAATAACTGTGTTGGGGGAGATACTTTGAGACTATGGAAATATCCTGCTTTTCCTTTGATTTTGCCCATAAACATTTGCATCCACCAGTGGATTTTGTCTATCAGAACTATGATTGTGGTCTTTGCTTCGTGGTGATCTTCTATTTCCCCTTTCTCCTCCTACATTCACTAACTGTAATTCTTCTGTAAGAAAGTACTATCCATTCTTCCCCATTTAACTTACTTATATCAGTATGGACTCAGGAGTGTTTATCTTATTCTATAGATTAAAATCCAAAATTATTATTCTCTACTTTGTTGCTACAATTATTCCAGCTCTGTCCATCCAGGTGGGTTTCTGTGCTCTTCTGACAAGCCCTATCAGTTTTGGAACATTTCCTTATTTTCTGACCCTATAAGATGCTATGCTTTGGGCTCATTATGTATTTCCTCCCATCCCAGCCCTGGAATCAATTACTTTTCCCAGGAGTCCTGGTTCATTTTATGAGATAATGTATTTAGAAGACAAGATGTAGGTGCTACATGCACTCATTACCACAGGGCTCCATTGCTTCCAGGCCTTCCATGCAGACAGGGCTAGGAAATACATGTGCATTAACTCACACACCTATAATTTCTCTGTCTATACATACTAAAAACCATGTTTTGGGGGGCATCTGGGTGGCTCAGTGATCGAGCATCCGCCTTCCACTCAGGGCATGATCCCGGGGTCCTGGGATCAAGTCCTGCATCAGGCTTCCCAAAGGGAGCCTGCTTCTCCCTCTGCCTGTGTCTCTGCCTCTCTCTGTGTGTCTGTCATGAATAATAAATAAAATCTTTAAAAAACAAACCAAAACCAAAACCATCTTTTTATATTGATACCTCTGATTCTAAGTCAACACTACATGGTATATTTTAGCCCTTCCTCATTTGTAACTGTATTCCCAAAAAGCAAGAAACTTGGTTCTCATTATCTACAGTATCTTTACTGATTTGTTCAATATTACTACTTTCAGAACTGCTAACCTATACCCCTAGGAGAAACACTTTAACCAAATACTGCATTTATGTACACTTCTTTTTGCCCTCAGCCCAAGAGTATTTAGGTTAGAGCCTATTTCCCAAAGTTCCTAGGTTAGTTCTTCTTCTCCTCTCCCTTCAGTGTAACTACTCATTTGCAATAGTTAGGTTCAGTTGTTGCAGTTTTAATGGAACGCTGCTTTAAATTTTTGTTCAATACTCTCTTGCTGCTGAACATTTTTGAGCAATTAGAAGCTAATATCTGGATAGGATCGGGGAAATATTCTACTGGGATAGTAGGATTTAATTGCTCAAAAACAGTGTATATGGCTTATTTAAGCCTGGTATAAATACCTTAAGAGCTGTACTTACTGAAAGTATATGACTTTTTATGACACCCCAAGCTAATGGGATTCTTTAGCTTAAAAAAAAAAAGATACTGTCTTTCTGGACAACTTCCAATTTTTAAGGTGTATTTTAAGGCCAAGGAGAGAGAAAGAGACCAAATGACAGATCAAAAAGGTGTCTTTCTTGCTCCTGGGACAACACTCCCAGATTAGCCCAGTCATCTTGAACACTAAAATTAGCAATGTGGTTTGGAGTCAGCGATGATGATTGTGGCATCCCCTCATAACTTTATCCTCTGGAAAATCTAAAAAACTCTGGAAGCCAGATACACATCAATAGATAAAATCCAATTATCATCTGTCATGTGGTCAGTGTGGTCATGGGGACCCTCAACATAACTAGTTATGGAAAACAGCCTTCTCTTCCTCTGCCACACACGCATTTGGAAGCTCCTCTCCAGCGGTAACCAAGGTAACCTCTCTCAAGGACTCAATGATATTCTCCAAAGGTTGATGTCCTTTTAAAAGACAAATAGGGGCTCAGATCAGAGAAGTGCAATAAGCCCCCTGTGGAACTATCTGTGGTCAGTCTACTTCAGACTCCAACGTTTTAAAAAATTTCGAAGGGAGCTACTACGCCAGTGATAGTATTCAGTGAAGACATCAGAGAGGCAAACATCTTCTGATCTAATCTGGCATCCCTTCTCCCCAAGTTTTCAGTCCTTCAAGGGTTTGCTGGGCTATTCAATTTCCTTTAACTTTATGTTTTTGCTGAGAGTATAAGTAAATCCTGACAGTTGATGGAGATCACAATATGAAACCAGATTTTCTGTAATTTTCTGTAAACCAAAAATTGACTTAGTAGCTACCAGTGCCTACCAATATAAAATCTTAAAAAAAAAAAAAAAAAAGATGAGGGCATCATGGAAGGCTTCCTAAAGGAGTGGTTTCTGGAGCCTGAGCCAAGTTTAAAACTTTAAGTATTTCTAAAGAGAGGCCAATTCTCAAGGAATTATTGATACTATACTGGGGAGGGAAAAAAAATCACTGAAATTTCAGCTGGAAAACAAGATAAAAGAATGAACTCTGGGGACGCCTGGGTGGCTCAGCGGCTGAGTGTCTGCCTTTGGCTCAGGGCGAGATCCTGGGTCCTGGGATGGAGTCCCACATTGGGCTCCCCGCAGGGAGCCTACTTCTCTCTCTGCCTGTGTCTCTGTGTCTCTCATGAATAAATAAAATCTTAAAAAAAAAAAAAAAAAGAATGAACTCTGAGCCCCATAGGCTATATTGTCTTCAAAAGAGAAGTCACCAGTCAAGACAGAGGGCCCTTGTGATTCCCTGGACATACGCATGAATATATGGGTTTAGCAGAAGCTCTCTCATTTGACCTATGGTGCAACTCTAGGCAATCCACTGAGCAGTTTCAAAATTCTCATTAATAAATGTCCTTTGAGGAACGCCTGGGTGGCTCAGCAGTTGAGTGTCTGCCTTTGGCTCAGGGCAGGATTCTGGGATCCAGGATCCAGGATCAAGTCCCACATCGGGCTCCTTGCAGGGAGCCTGCTTCTCCCTCTGCCCATGTCTCTGCCTCTCTCTTTGTGTCTCTCATGAACAAATAAATAAAAATCTTAAGAAAGGGGCAGCCCAGGTGGCACAGCGGTTTAGCGCCACCTTCGGTCCAGGGCCTGATCCTGGAGTCCCGGGATCGAGTCCCGCTTCAGGCTCCCTGCATGGAGCCTGCTTCTCCCTCTGCCTGTGTCTCTGCCTCTCTCTCTGTGTCTCTCATGAATAAATAGATAAAATCTTTAAAAAAAAAAATCTTAAAAAAAAAAAAGCTTGCAAATCAACCAATCAATCAAACAGCTCTCTCTCAGGAGCACCTGGATAGCTTGGTCAGAAGAGCGTGCCACTCTTGATCTCAGGGTCATGAGATCAAGCCCCACATTGGGTGTAGAGAGTACTAAATAAATAAATAAATAAATAAATAAATAAATAAATAAACTTAAAAAGAAATCAGTTCCCTCTCCACTTTGAATCTTTGAGATAAGACATGACATGATTCTGGGATAATGTAAAGAGAGGATACTCTTGTGGGCTACCACAGTCACAGAGGAGCATGAGGGTGTGACGCTGCCACCATGCAGACCCCAAGACCTGGCCTTCAATGCCCACCTGCTTGTATACTTTGTCTTACATCTTTTCCTAAGCTCTTCTTTCCGGCTTTTCCCTTACTCAGACAAGGGAAGCCCCAAAACCAACCCCAGGTGATGGCTTCTGCCCTGACAAGACCTCCTGCTGCCCCAGACCACACAGACCACTTGAGCTAAACCGGACTTGGGACCGTGCAGATGGACCATGGAGTGACATCTGGACTGACCTACAATTACTTTTACCTCATTGTAATACTAAAATCTCTGCCCAAGGAGGAGCCTCAGCCTCATTCACATGCACACAAGGCACGCACAGGCAGGTGGCCATAGGCATGTGACCTTTTACCCACCTCTCCCTAGGATGACAAGGTTTCCCTATCTAAATATTCATCCTAACCCTAAACAAAAGGAACCTATTCACTCTTTCTCTGGGAGTCATTCCCCATGATCTCCTTATTTGCTGCAAATATAAGTTTTCTTTGTGGGACAACTGAACCTGGTGGTGTTTCTGACTCATCAAGGCAGGAACTCATTGGTTCGGTTACATTGTCAGCTCACTCTACAGTGGGGGTGGATTGGGACAAGGATTAAGGGCGGAGAGAAAAGTCTGTCAGATGGGGAAGTATTCCAGAAATGAAGGAAAGGACTGACAGGGCAAAGAGGAGGCCAGTATGCTTAAAACAGAGGATTCATGTTAAAGAAAAGGAGAACAGGCCCCATGGAGTCTCTGTGTTACCTCCGTAGGAATGTACTTGGCACCTGCTAGATGTTCACTACATATCTGCTGAGTGACAGACAGTCCCTGAGCCTTAGCATACAAATTTAAACTCTCTTCTGAAAGTAAACGAGGTCAATGAGGCCAATGGAAGATCTCTGAGAAGGGGATGCAAACACGGAAGTTTTAGTTTTTGGAGGATCCACCTGGTGGCGATGGCAGCAGGAGAGTCCCACAAAAAAATATTTGTACCTAAAAAGGTAAAAAAACGCTTTAGGGCTCACAATTCTCACA